AATTGCAGCACACCAAATTCACTTTGTTATCACTCCAAATCAGCAGCAAAGAATGATAATAGCTTGAATCAGAGGTAGTTAAGTTGCTTTGCTTTATACGCTATTGCTACTGAATGTGCAAAAATCTGGCCGTTGCAATTTGCAGCTAGCCGTTGCAAAATCTGCCAAATAACTGTTGCATGGCACATCTGGTGCTTACAATTTTTTTATTGCACTTACACCCCCTCAACTTTAGTAATCAGTTCAAATCATTTATTCTTCTTTCAATCTTCTACTAATACAAGGAGCAAAAGGGCAGCCATGGAATAAAAATACCTTCTCACACATGAAAATAATATTGTAATATGATTTGGACTGCTTTGTTACCAAAAACTCCAAAGCAAGGGAGGTCAGTGAAATTTTGAGAACTTCAGGGGGTCTCAGTGCAAGTGTCAGAAACCTCAGGGGAGGTTTCCGAAATTATCCCTATATTTTTATTGTAACTTGAAAAAAGAAATAAGGAGGGAATTTTAGAAGTACACAAAATCATCATTAAAAACCTCTCGCTCCTCTTATTAATGCATCCAAAAAAATGTTAATGTATACGCGTAAAGCTTACAAGATTAATCTATGCAATTATCTTTATCAAACCGAAGTCTTCGGTTTCAACCTCAAAAAAAAAAAAAAAAAAGTCTTCGGTTTCACACTTGGTCTTGAAAAATCTTGAAACAAGAGAGCAGATTCTAAAGTTACGTAAAAGTGGCAGTCAAGCCGGATATAGTGAAAGGGTCTAAGGAAGATTTCACGAAGTTTCGTCTATTTCAGTATTAATTAATTGGCTTACTAATTTGACAAAAAAAAAAAAAATTGGCTTACTAATCCAAATAGTTTAGACAACTTGGCTTACACGTAGCCCGAATGACCCCAACCAGAAAGCCTCCACTTGCACAGAGCAATTTTGCAAAATTATATATGTTTTTGGGAAAGACCAGGCTCCACTTGAATTGTGAAGTAAAAACTGGTCGAAAAATATGTCGAAATTTTTTTTTTTCAACGAAAACTCGCAATCTTAACCAGGTATATAGTATTGTCATGTTTGGATATATGATAATTAATTTGAATTTGAATTTAAAATCTAAATATTACGTGTGTGTTATATATTTAAGTATGATAGTGTATAATATCAGTAATAGATTAACATTAACTCTTTTAAGAATATCCAAACACATTTTTCAACCACTTGATAATAAAAAATTATTCTTAAACACTCTAACAAACTATCATTCAAAGAGATCCACATCCAATTTGTAATTGTCCACTCAAGGTCAAGTCGTGAAACGGATCACATTTTTCACAAATGCTAGACATTGGTCCCCGCGGTGTCACTGGTGCCCATATCGTATGTTTTTTTTTTTTTTGGTGTATTTTGAGGTATGATAGATTGTATTATTATTATTATTTATAAGTAGGAGATCTTGGATTCAAAATCTCCTACTTACCATTTCTCTCATCTGATCATTCAGTCCAACCCTCCTCCGTTTCTTTATTAATTATATGTACATGTATTTTATATTGGAACACGTGTAAAGATTTGTAATATAATTTTTATAATGTAGTATGAATTTGTCATATTTTGTATTATTTTGAATGATTATGATTTTGATATGTTTTTCTATTGGTAGAGTGGTTAATTATTTCGCATTTTTAATTTTTTTGGTATTTTTATTGTTTACAGTAGCATATTTATGATTTTGCTTATTTGTGATTTGATTATTGGTTCTGATTAATTTTATGCTAGTGAAAGTTGTGAGAGCGGATTAATTGAAGGATTTCTTAGTGTGTATGATACTATAATTTGAGGTGTATTATTCTAGGTTGTGTTGATTTTTGTATAATTTGAGGTGTATTATTGTTTGTTGTTGATACTATTTAACTTGTGAAGAATAATTTGGCAGCTAAAGTTGCTGTTTTGTTTGCGTATCATATGTTTTTTGCTATATGTGGATGGATATAGTGGTATTTTTCTTGTGTCTCAAACGAAGACATAGTGGGTTAACATAAGGCGGCAAACCCAAAAAGATTTCGCAAAAAATTTGAGACACCCAAAGAAATCTGGGCAGACATATGAAGCAGGCCGCGCCCAACCACTAAAAATAGTATTCGCAATAAAAAGACCAAAAAGGCCAAAATCTATAGAGCAACAACGGCAAGACCAGTATAAAAAGGGTTAAATTAGATTAGCTGTTTTTGGAGGTGTTTTTCAAAAAATTTTACTGTAGTTGTGTATATGAAAAAATTTTACTGTAGATGTTTTTTGGATTGTTTTTAGAGATACTTTTAAAATATATTTTTGAGTATTTTTATAATTTACAATTTTTTTGGGATATTTTTTTAAAAATTTTACACGACCCACCACTATCTCCTCCCTTTTCCTCCCTTTCTCTTCCTCTCCTTCTCACCTCTATTTCCTCCCACTCCTCCTACTCCTCCCCCTCCTCCCTCCTCCCTCTTTCCTCTCCCTTCTCCCCCCTCCCCTCCCTCCCCCCAACCCCAAACCCCTCTCCTGCTCGCGGGTGGTGGCTGCGACTTTAGCCACCACTCTAACCACGACCGTCTTGGTCGCGATCAGATTTGATCGTGACTAAGAAGGTTGCGGTCAGTCGAGGGAAAGGAAATTGGGGGGCGGGGAAAGGGAAAGGAGGAAGGAGAAGGAGAAAGAGGAAGAGGAATAAAGGAGGAGGAGGAGGAGGAGAGAGGGAGGAAAGATCTGCGGAGAGAGAGAGGAGAGCGGAGAGAGAGGATCGTGGGTGTGGGGGTGGTGGCGGTAAGGTAGTGGCCATAGTGGTGGAGAGTGATGGGTAGTTATGTATTTTTTTGTATATTTGGAATTATTTTTGATATATTGTTTGGATATTTTTGGAGTTGTTTTTATTTGTGTATTACTGTAGCATTGTAGATGAAAAAATTGTTTTCAATAAAGTGTGAATCCAAACAGAGCCAAAATTTTTTGAATAAATTACATCTATAGACAAAAATATAGGCCGAAATCACGGACCCAAAAATTAGAAACAAGTTATGTGCATCCATAGCATAACTCTCCATCACCTTGTTTGTATCATACTCTAAAACAACAGCATGTGGTGGTTCCATTGTGGTTTTGTAGCGGGTTATTTACACCAACATTCTAACTTGTATTTGACATTACGAAAATATTGACATTTTTTCCCTATTTCTATAGGAACAGAAATGACTTTTGAATTATTATTATGAAAATCATTCAAAACGTTTCTTACATTTCACAAAATAAAATTTTTTTCATCTCTCATTGATCATGTGTACAAATAATTTTTTTTTGTTTTTGAAACCCCATTTATATGTCTATTTGATTTTCACCTCAACAATACGAATAACATGTAATATATCTTTATTTGGTTTCACATGAACAAGCTAATTTTAGTTGTACGTGAAATCAAATAGAGATATATTACATGTTATTCGTACTGTTTAGGTGAAATCAAATAAATATATACATGGATTTAAAAAAAAAACTATTCATACACATGATTAATTAGGGATGAAAAAATTTATTTTGTGAAAAGTGGGAAATGAAAAAATTCATTTTGTGAAATGTGAGAGGCGAAAAAATTCATTTTGATAAAATGTGAGGGACTATAAATTAGATTATGTTAAATGTAATTTGACATTTTTGCTTCTAAAAGAATGATCATGTGCAAGACACGCGGTGGATTCTGACAAAAAACTAGTCAAAAACCTAGATAGGAACCAAATTTAACTAATGTGAATTTGGAAGAGACGTAAAATTAAACTTTTAAAAGTGAAAAATAAAAAAAATTATTTTGTAAAATGTGAAACATGTTTTGAATGATTTTTCCTAATAATAATTCAAACGAGGATGGTTCGATTCTATTGCCGACTTAATCAGAAATTAGCCCAAATCTTAGATAATAGTAGAGTAGCGGATGCCTCCAACCCGGGAGACCTCCATGTGGCAGTTTTCCGATTTCTTACAAAATTACTTGGTAACCCCCATTGAAATTATATAATAAATTGTATCTACTATTGCAATTATTGTAACTTGAAAAGACTGGATCCCGTGCCGAATCCCCGTTGAACACGAATTGGGGACAAGTACAATTGGCCTTAGTTGCAATTTTATATAATTATTGTACTTTTTTCAAGATTTTAGCATGAATTCATAGCAAATTTTGTAACCCATCAAAACTTTCTCAGAAATTAAAAGGTTTTGAATTCAAATTTCACTGTTTCGCATTCTTCTCCCACTCTTTGAGGGTTTAGTCGTCGAAATGCCATTGAGTTCTAATAGATGAAATCCACAGCCTTGTTTTGTTCAAATACCTCTGTCACCATCTTGTACAACTTTTGCTTCAACTTACGGCATTGGGGAACTTGTATGAAGTGCTTGTCCAGAATTTGTACTCAAATACTATGTTAATTGCTCTTGAATGCCCTACAAGTGAAGACTAATTAATTCTTCTACATAGAATAAGGAAGGACCAAAAACTTGAAAAATTCAAATAAAAGCATTTTATGTTAATGTACATTGTCTTGAAGAGGCCTAGAAAAGAAAATTTCTTGCAGAGAGCTCTAAGAAATAATGATAGCTACAGCCCTGCCATGCTGAAATCTCTAAGACAAAAGCACAAAAGGCTGGTCTTGGTCATCGGCAATTGAGATTCAATCTGGAGAATCATCTCCAGACCCAGTGAAGATGCAGATCCTGCGTAATTAAAGCTGCATGGTGTATTTCTTCTCAATTTCGAGACTAAAACCTAAGCAGCTACAATAATGGACGCTTCCAGGTCACAATGACAGCAACAAAACCAGGTACTTTCTTTGTCATCGCTTTCCTAGATCCATATGCATCAAGAAAGGAAAAAAAAAAAAAAAAATATATATATATATATATATCAAGAGATGAATATATTTACACTGAATTAGAAGTTCCTTCAGCTGGCGACTGAAAGGTCCAACAGCACGTAACTAAAGAACTATGTCAGATATTTACCAGAAAAGAGATACAAAAATATCCAGAGGCAAACCGCAATTATTGAGGCAACATTCATGCTCATCTTTTTGACATTAACAAAAAAAATACATTGATATTGGAAGTATCAGAGTTCACTTCTTGCGAATAGAAAGGCAAAGCCATGTATCTTTCCTCCGAAAGAGGCTCGTACAATCAGCACAAAGTTCATATAGAATACAAATGAGAGGAAGTCGCATAAATAGCACGTCCAATGCATCCTTTCTCTCAACCTTCCTCTCCAAACTCATTGGTGAATCTCTCATGCACCTCAAGGTCAGCTTTGCTCACTGTTGGCCTCTGTCTTGCCAACACTTTGTCAAAGTCTATTTTAGATATCGGAGGTGGGATTATCTGCATGGACATTAATCTGAAATACTCTCAGTTAACATTCTGCCAAGAACAAAAAAGGAACATACTCAATCTTTATATTATCATCCAGAATCATTATATTATACTTCAAAGCATCACCTCAGTGATGTCAAGAGGTAATCATGATTGACAAGTTCATGCTCTGATAAATATTTGTAATGATTATCACGGCAATGATGTATGCCACAAAGCAAGCACTTACAGACATTAAAAATCCAGCTAATATCGTAAACCAACTAGAATTGACCCTAACATATATAGAATCCAATGTAAGCATCTATCTCACCTTAACAGCAAGTCCTTTACCGGCATAGTTATCTGGACAGCACCTGATTGCTTTGGTCCACATGGCATCCACATACCATTAGGAGTATTTATAAAGAACATGGCATCTTGAGTTTTGCGAACAGGTTCAAAAAGGACATCCTTGACCTATCGAACCGGAAAAATTAGACGTTACTGTACATTAATTAAATTAATACAAATCATAACCAAAAAACGAGGATAAGTCAAATTTACAAGTAGTAGATTATGTATGATCCGCCACTATTATTTGAAATTAAATAATTAGTACATGACGGTGATAATAATGTCAAATGATGCACATGAAGCATTGTTAACCCTTCTCGACTAATGATCAAACTTGTGAACCTCTTCGTTTGGATTGACCTGTTTTTCGAATATAATACTATATAGTAATACACAACCAAAAAATAACTTAAAAAATATATGACTCATACAATATATTAAAAATAACTTACAAAATAATTTACAACACTTTTTCACCTCACCTCTTACTAGAATCACCACTATCCACCACCGCCACCATCCCGCCCTCCTTCTCCTTTCCCCCTCACCCCCTAGATCGAGATCTCTGATCACGACTTTTTGGTCGCGATCTGGAGACCAGAGGCCTCGATCTTGTCAAAATCAGATCGAGGGAGAGGGTGGGGGAAAGAAAAGAAAGGAGGAAAAGAGAATGGAAAAGGGCAGAAGAGGAAGGCGGTGGTGGCGGTAGCGGCAGCGGGTGACGGTGATGGTTGTTGAAAATAGTGGTGGTTGTGAGTGGTAATATTTTTTAAAAAAATATCATCATTAAATAATTTTAAAAATTATCTCAAAATATATTTCAAATATTCCTTAAAAATATCACAAAAAAAAACATATTTAGAATAAAAAATTTTAATATACACTATTTTATCAAAATATTTCAAAAACACTCCCAAAATTAATTAATTTAAACGGAGTTTTTGAAACATCAAACCGATTAATACAAATATTTCGATTGCTATTTTCTGAAATTTTTGTAAAAAAAAATATACGAAAAAACTAACTAAAAAAAGCGTAAAAATTTTTTGAAGAAAAATAGTAATCCAAACAAGCTGAAATATCACAACATGAGTTGTGTTCCCACAAGAAAAAATTGCACAAACACTTTTGGGAGGAGGGGGAGAGCATTTGATCTATCAAAAGCAGCCTGAGATCAGACGTCAACTTTACAGAAGAAGTACTTGAGTCTGAAGAATGACTTGACCGTGTCGGTTACTGTCGCAGAAGACTGCCGCCCAAGCGAACAAGTCCTGAGGAAGAATGTATTTTCCTGTCCAACTTCCATTTGCACAAACCAGCAGGAGGGCATGTTCAACACTGCCCTGATCATCGCTGTTGAAAGTTGAGGCCTTTACTCTTATAGATCTGCCTGGTTCGATCCTAACAATTTTCTTGAACCTATCAGGTCTAGAGACATCCACCCACATCTTGATTTCTATGTTAAACCAAGTCCTGTTTTCTAGGATGGTAAGCTTATTTCCCATTTTCCGACAGAGAGGGGAAGTTCCAGGTGTTCCCATTTTCCAGGTGCTCGTGTGCAGGTGTAACAGGGAAGTAGAAATGGAGAAAAGACAGAGACAGAAGTCAGTGCTCGTGTGCTGTTATGTGCGGAATATTATGCTTAGAGGAAGTGGAGAGGTGAACTTTGATTTATAGAAGTGTAAGAACCTTGGTATATTTTCGCAAACTCAACAAGGGAATTTGTATAATTACACTATGGTTGGATTAACATGTTTTCTTTTTATTTTCTGCTTTGAGGTTACTGTTTGCCAGATCCCACTAATCAAAATGATGCATTCTACTCTCTAGTCTCTAGATCACATTATTTAAAAGCACCATTTTGAAAAGCAATTTAATACTTAAAGTTAAAGTTAATGAATTCATATCTGTACCGTGTTTAATAATAAAAATAAAATATTTAAATTAATTAAATGATATTAAAGTTTTTAAATAAAATTTACTTTTTAAAAAAAAGTAATAAATTATTTACTTTATCATTTAATGTGATATACATTTAAGTACATTTAATTCAATATATAATTATTTAATAATTTAATAAATTTAAAATTCAAATTACAAATTTCAGTTTTTAAATTTTAATTTTATCAAATCCGCACTTCGTCTCAACTCTGACTTATTGGCCCTTCTTCAAAAATTTGAAGTCTCCCTTGCAGTAAATAGAATAACGATGATGAGCATGCGTTAAAGATTGGAAATTGCCATTTCCTCCACTGTTACCTCATCCTGATCGGCAACCATTAACACCACTGTGGGTGGACCATTAACACGTCCCCAGAACCACTGGGCCAATGGCTCAGTGGCCACAGGGAGGGACTTAATCCCTCCCTCCTTGAGCTGTTGGTGAGGGTTCAAACCTTACCAGCAGCGAAAAAAATTTAAGAGTTGTGTCATAGCACTCCCTTGATCTAGTTGGATCTGTATACCCACTAGCCCCTATCACAGCCTCCTTAGGCTCCCCCTCCTCCTAGATTAGGATAGAATAGGTTATACAAATGTATCGTTGCTGACAAAAAAAAAAATTAACACGTCCCCAGGGCCCGTGGCAAACCGGACCTTTTCCGTCGTTTAGGATTTGGATAAAGAAAGGCCGGCTAAGCTGATGAAAATGTAGGCCACTCACCTCTTTGGATCCTTGCTCAAAGCTTCTTTTTTTTTTTTTTATTTACTGCTAATTTATCCTAATTTAAAGAAAAAGAAAGTTTAAAAAAACTGTATATAAGGTGTTAGTAAGTATAAAAAATTATTAGATTTTTTTTTTTTATGGTCATTGAGCCAAACCTTAGTAGTTATCCTTGCTGAAAGTATCACAGATGCTGCGAATAGTCATGCCTCACATCACCATTGGGGATTTATCTACATTAATTCAAGCTCTAGTCATCAGGCTTGCCTAGAGAGTGAGAGATAAAGCTCCCACTTTAATCAAAGTAGTGGTCAATGTACAGTTTGTGTCTGCCACTTAATTTTGTGAGACTATTTTAAGATAAACAGGTATGGAGAAAGTACGAGGATAGTTACTGGAAATTGGCTTTGCATGCTTGCATTTACTGTATTTTCCCTTTAAGTTTTAGTGAAAAATTTCAAACCTAGACCTCTCAATTACGTCTTCTCCCTTACATTATTCAATTCATCCCTCCTCTAGTATTTATTATATGTTTGACATTGTTGTTCAAAAATAGGGATGAAATGTTAAAAGTACATAAATCCGTTATTAACCAATTGAGCTAATTTAGTTGGCCATCAAGGAGAGACAAAAAGTCTCTCTTGAATGTAGGTAAGGAGTTCGAAACTCCTTGCTTAGATTTTCCGATCAAAATTTTTTGAAATACTTTTGAAAGTAATTTGATTTCCTTCGAATTCTTAATAGTTTAATTGGGTTCATCCCTATCTTACTACCACATTCCCCTAATATAGGACCAAGTGTAAAAATATTATATTAAAAAAAAATCATTGTTGACCTCTCGTTCCTTAATCCAACATGAAAATAAGAAGAGTTTTGCGTGCTTTATATTTTTATTGTAACATGAAAAAAGAAAATAAGGAGGGATTTTTAGAAGTACACAAAATCATCATTAAAAACCTCTCGCTCCTCTTATTAATGCATCCAAAAATGTTTATGTATACACGAAAAGCTTACAAGATTAATCTATGCAAATATCTTTATCAAACCGAAGTCTTCGGTTTCAACCTCCAAAAAAAAAAAAAAAAAAAAAAAAAGTCTTCGGTTTCACACTTGGTCTTGAAAAATCTTGAAACATGAGAGCAGATTCTAAAGTTACGCAAAAGTGGCAGTCAAGCCGGATATGGTGAAAGGGCCTAAGGAAGATTTCACGAAGTTTCGTCTATTTCAGTATTAATTAATTGGCTTACTAATTTGACCCAAAAAAAAAAAAATTGGCTTACTAATCCAAATATTTTAGACAACTTGGCTTACACATAGCCCGAATGACCCCAACCAGAAAGCCTCCACTTGCATTTGACAAAAAAAAAAAAAAAAAGAAAGCCTCCACTTGCATAGAGCAATTTTGCAAAATCATATATGTTTTTGGGAAAGACCAGGCTCCATTTGAATTGTGAAGTAAAAAATGGTCGAAAAATATGTCGAAAGAAATTTTTTTTTCACAAAAACTCGCAATCTCAACAAGGTATATAGTATAGTCATGTTTGGATATATGACAATTAATTTGAATTTGAATTTAAAATCTAAATGTTACGTGTGTTATATATTTAAGTATGATAGTGTATAGTATCAGTAATAGATTAACATTAACTCTTTTAAGAATATCCAAACACATTTTTCAACCACTTGATAATAAAAAATTATTCTTGAACACTCTAACAAACTATCATTCAAAGAGATCCACATCCAATTTGTAAAACCGGATCAGATTTTTCACAAATACTAGACATTGGTCCCTGCGGTGTTGCGGGTGCCCATATCGTATGTTTTTTTTTGTGTGTTTTTGGAGTATGACAGTTTTGTATTATTATTATTATTATTTTATAATTAGGAGGTATTGGGTTTAAAATTCCCTACTTACTATTTCTCTCATCTGATCATTCAATCCAACCCTTCTCCGTTTCTTTATTAATTATATGTACATGTATTTTATATTGGAACATGTGTAAAGATTTGAAATATAATTTTTATAATGTAGTATAAATTTGTCATATTTTTAATGTAGGATTTCTTAGTGTGTATGATACTATAATTTGAGGTGTATTATTCTAGGTTGTGTATGATTTTTTTGTATAATTTGAGGTGTATTATTGTTTGTTGCTGATACTATTTAACTTGTGAAGAATAATTTGGCAGCTAAAGTTGCTGTTTTGTTTGCGTATCATATGTTTTTTGCTATATATGGATGGATATAGTGATATTTTTCTTGTGTCTCAAACGCAAACATAGTGGGCTAGCATAAGGCGGCAAGCCCAAAAAGATTTAGCAAAAAATGTTAGAGGCCCAAAGAAATCTGGGCAGACATATGAAGCAGGCCGCGCCCAACCACTAAAAATAGTATTCGCAATAAAAAGACCAAAAAGGCCGAAATCTATAGAGCAACAACGGCGAGACCAGTATAAAAAAGGGTTAAATTGGGATGGGGCCACCAAAATTCAAAGCTTGTGGACCTTGGAATGATTCCTATGTGGATACGGGGGATACGGGGCAGGAGCGGTCCTCAGACGACCGCTCCTGAACGGTCTCCTCACAATAAAAAACGTGAGGAGACAAATGAGCCAAGTCAGTAAGGTTGAAGCAGGGCACAAAAACGACGCCGTTCCAAATAAAAAGATGTTGACTTCCAAACGGGAGCAGACGGAGCAAACGGAAGAGAATTGGTTTTTGAAATTCAAGTTGAAATTTTGAATTAGCCGCAGAAAACAAAACTGAGGGAAGCCAAATAATTAAATTGTGAAGGTAATCTACTCTGACCAACCACTCACTGAAGGCAGAAAGCTGAAGTTCAGGTGGGATTCAACCTACTGGGTGTTTCTAGGTGAAGTGGGTGTAGTCTACTCTGATGAAGGTAGCAATTGACAGAAAAGTGGGTGGAGAGGCAGGCGACATGGAAGAAGCAAACAGAGATGAAGCCAAAGTTTGTCCGTAAAACTGAATAGCAGAAGCAGCTGTGGTCTCCAATTGGGTATAATAGTGTTGTATGTATTTTGAATGCGTGCAAGAGCGGCGGTAAGGTAGAAGCAAATAGAGGAAATTCAGCATCTCACGAAACCAGATTTTGTCCTTCAACTTAATAGCAGAAGCAGCTACGTCTCCGACTTCGGTGAAACGTGAAGCGTATTAGCAGACCAAGGTAACATGACTGAACCATGTCAATAATTGTGGCCAATAATTTGTCACCCAAATGCACATCTGTTAAAGGAAGGATGAAATTAGAGTCACTGAAGACATAATATGAAGATGATAGAAGAATAGTGAAGTTGTACTGTATTTGTATGTGTGTACCGTATCTGTGTGTGTGTGAGCATTCAGCTTTTCAGTGATGGACTATAATGGGATAGTAGTTTTTGGAAGACCTAGGGTTATGTATTCAAGTAAACCGTCGACTGGAATTAGGGAAAGATGAGAGAAACAAAGTCACATTTAACATTAATGAATATACATCTTGTTGTAAATTAGTTACATGTTATAGCCACCGTATTACAATTGATATGAATCATTGTGCATGTAGTAATTGGTCCATGCTGATGGAGTAATATTAGTTTGCCCCTCTCCTGACCATACAGTGTGTATAAAATGGAGGCGTAGAGTTGAATGAGGTGAAGCAGAGGAAAAGACACATATGTGAATAATAAATGGGTGAACCTTGTGTTGTAAGTCAATTACATGATGTAAGAAATATATTACAATGAGTAGAAAGTAGGGTTATGTATTATGTCAATCTCTGCATTTTGGTTCTGAGAAGATGATGATATCCGTGGACTTTCTCATATGTAATTGATCAAAATGCTTCATTAAATTGTACTATTTGAATAGGGCAAGATTTTTAATCTTATAAATGGTGCCTCATTAGAAAGATGGATACTGCTGGATCTATAATTGCTTACAAGGAGCTTGCAATATAGGATGAAATCAAGAAAGGAAGCAAATGCAAATACATATACAAAGTTTTTTTTTTTTAGAGAGACTTTCGTTTCCTTAATTAATTAATATTTTAAATAGAAAAATAGGATGGTCACAGTTCAGTAACTTACCACGAAGTTAGGGTCAAATCATCACCACTAGTTTCTAACTAGGAAACTGGCAATGGGCACTTCCTGTATATTCAATCTGTCATTCATTCTCTATTTTTGATCCAACACCTTTGTACCCTCCCTCTCTCTCTCTTTGCCCTAGAATTCTGTAACCATTAGGACTAATCTCTCAGTGGAAGACAAGATCATTCATGCCTGCTACATATGGACCTACTTCATCTCCTAAATATTTCTTTTTTCCCATCAATATTCTTCTTCAAAACTTCTACAATTTATTTAGCCCCCTTAAAAAGTTGACACATAAATAAGTAAATGAATCAAGAAAACAACTTGTGATCCTTTTTCAGGGCACACTCATATTGAATCGAGTTCATTTACATGAATGACCCAAATTGAATAGAGCTCTTCCGGCCGGTGTTTGAAGAATCGAATCGGACCAGTCGATTCGATTGGTTGGACAACAAACTAGCACACCGGTTCAATTTTATGAGAAACTCGAAAAGTTAAAAAGACTAGTCAAAATCGGTGAATCGAAATAAATTTTTGAATTTTGATTTCGGATTTGGATATTTTGTAATGGGCTGCTCACTTTATTGAACTTTGGTGTTCTATGAAAACCCAATATCTACAACTAATTGTCTGCTACTACAAGTTGGTTGATGGCCATTTTTTTTTCAAATTAAAAAAAAAAAACTTACTTGGCACAACTTAAAAACAAAATGACTAATCTAACTAAAAACTGAAGGAACCCTCAATTCTCTTTCTCTTTTAATAATCTTAATCTTGAGGAAGCACTCTACAAGTTCCGCTCATCTTCTTTTCTTTTCTTTTCTTTTTCCCCCTCTTCTCTTATATATTTTCTTTTACATTATTGATAGTGAATATGATAATGAAGTTGAACTTGATAGATAAAGAAGCGCAATCCCTTTCCTCTTTTATCTTTTGTTTTTATATTCATGATATTTTTCTACTTTTTTTGGGAGTTAATTTTACAAATCCTATCAAATTTGTTTTTGGGTTCGGAAAGTTAAACTCTTTTGTGGTTAATTTGAGATATTGGATAGATTTGTTCATAATTTTGTTGATTCTTTATTTTTTATGAAATACTTTTTCTTTAATTTGATAGATGAATTAGAAGGTACTAGATCAATAAATCTTCTCTAGAAGACATTACAAAATTTAGGATTTTTGTGTTGATTTTACATATTTCTGCTTATATAGTTGTACATTCATCTAAGATTTTAGTTCTACAATATCCTGCGAGTTATTTGCCATACTAATATACGAGTCATTACTATTATTATTATTACTTTTTTTTGCTAGACTGAAATCATTTTATACTTGTCTGTCACATTACAAAGGAGTTAAGTTCTGATAAAAAAAATTCAAATATCATGTAATACTTCAACGACAGCTTTTGAAACTCATATGTTTAAAGACTCAAGTAATAAGAAAAAAAGGAAAAAAAAAACAGTGTACATTAGTGAAAGAAAAGCTATGAAAATTGGATTGGATATCTACGGACTGTAACCAATCTGCATATGATGCAAAGGATCTGATACCCACAAAAGGTGAATTGGAACTGGAACAAAAAGTGAATTGGAATCGGAACAGAATGAGTACTTGGGATTTTAGATTGTTCTTAAAACACATAATACCCACCAAATCTCCCAAGGAACAAGCACCCATCCAAGCCCGCTCTAACTTGCACAATTGATTTGTCATTTATAATTAAGGCCCGTTGCTGTATATTCTAGCACTCACAAACAATCAGAAAGAATACATCAAAAAAAAAAAAAAAATCATAACTCACAGACGACATCACCCTTCCTCACTCTACCTTCATTGCCATATTATAGCCTTGCATATTCTACACTGCAGTTGCCAGAGCTCTGAGTGTTGTCCAAGATTAAGCTGCAACAATTATCTGTTATACCAATTGTCAACTTCATGCTACTTGTTCTCTAGAAGGTCTTCATGTGGTCAGCCTTCAAGGTTGCGAAATTGAAGAGGAAATGCGTACCTTTTGCAGGCGCAGAGATGAAAAAGAAGGCTGTCTATTAAGCTTGAGAGGGAGCTCCATCATGAGTTTCAGAGAGACAAGAAGAGGAAGATTATCATATCTCATGGAACCAACTATTTCACCGTTGCAACACGGCATCATATCTCCATGGGACTGCAAATCAAGGAAATTGAAGGTAGTAACCATCCGAGGTGTCATTTGAGAAGCCCGTATCTTAGAATGTCGCACATGTGATGCAGAAAAAGTTTGCCCTTCTTTTACATTGTAGTAATAAAGAGAATAGTAGTATCAGTGTCAAGATTGTGTACAAATTCTAAGCACGTTTTTATGTCCAGGATGGAAAATCAATTGCCAACATTCGTTGGAGCATTGAACAATTCTAGGCATGTTTTATGTATAGGATGGAAAATCATTTGCCAACATTTGATGGAGCATTGAACAGCCTTCATTACACAAATAAGCATGTGGATTCAATTGAACATGATATACTCCAGATACATAAATAAATTGTTCAGACAAGGCTGACAAGTGATAGTCAAGTACCATCAGTTCAATGAATCTAGAAGGAATACCAACAAAATTGTATCTAACAACAATTTGACATTGCTTTTATCATGACTCTCCTAAAATAAAGCAGGAAAATCAGCAAGTCTTCAAGGAACTCATACAAAGGGGAGTAAACCTGAAATAATACAAGTTCAGGTTTTCAAGAAAAAGAAGTAACCTTGAAGGCACAAGTATTCTTAATGGTCCAGGCATCTTTTCTAATTCTGCTTGAGTGGCGAAATAAGGCTGCTTTACAACATTCAGGAGTCAAACAGGACAACGAATTAACTTAACTATTTAGAAAAAGATTGCAGCCTGTAGCCATGAAAAGTAACAATTCCTTTAACCAGTGGCTGATATGTCAGTGCTTAAGAAAATCTACAAAGATGGATGAAACAGGGACAAATATGCACCACTGATTTCTTATGATAGAGAAATGATAAACCAACTCACAGCTTTTACTAACCGACACGTTAATAACTGCATGTAGACCAGGGGATCTTTTCTTATGAAGCCAGGTACACAGTCTCCCCGTCAGCCATGCACAGTCCTCAACAAGGGCTTTACCTAAAACCAGGTGCAGTGCAATGGTGACAAGCAAGCAAATCAACAGATATTTTGAGTTCATCCTGGGGGTTGTTTTATCATTTCCTTGCAATACAAGAACTCTGTATACTAGTACAAGTTTTCATCTATAAGTTAAAACCACAATTACCCCAGTAAAAGCACCAGACTTGTTGTACATGCATATGCATATTTGGATACAGTCATGTCTGTGTATAAAACCGCATACAACAGAACCAAACAGATGTTGTATACTCCTTTGAAAAAAAAGGTTTAAGAATTCAAAAAGGGATAATATGATCATTGAACAGAAAGGACTCTTGTAAACTACTGTTTGATAAACCTATCTGTAAAACTCTACAGGCATAAGCGCATTTTCTGCAGCATTTTATAGATCAAATTTGCCTGAAGAATAGAAAAGATAACTGGGGATTATGTAATTAGCTTGATGATAAATCAACTTCACACTCAATCTCTAAGCCTCCACTAATGCCTCTTTTACAATGTGGAATACTCCTACAAGGCAAATGCCAATGTTCTACTAGATAATTGTGCCTTCCAAGTCCAAATGCATCAAGATGCTCATTACAACTGACTAATCTACAACATCTAGATACAAAATTCCTCCCCAAAAAGTAAAACTACTACTAAAACAGAAAAATGCACTCTTTTTATTTTCGATGTTTGAATTATTCCTTTCCCATTAACTAATAATATACCCTGCAATGTACCCGAAATTCCTTATGATCAAAATTCAAATTTCTTACTTTTGACTAATCATTTTGAGATACAAAAACAACACCACCACATATACAATTAACCATAGTATAACTAAATAGAATAAATAACTTTCTTGAACTTTTTCCTTTTAAATTTGCCTGTTCTACAAATAAATTCAACTCCCAAATAACTGAGTATAGTAACAAAAAGGAAAAACAAATACATAATTTAGTAATCAACAACATAAAAAGCAACAAATTTTATCAACTAAATTCAAAGGAAAAAATCATAGAAGAAAATAAGAAAAGACAGTGGAAACTGGTGAACGATTCAGATCCGATCCAGCAAAAACACTCATTCCTCTGCCCTCTGCTAGTCAATGATTTTTGCGTAAACAAGCAAAAACTACAAAAAAATTAAAATAAATAAATAAATAAAATGAAATTAATTATGCAGAGGAGATTGGGAGTTTTCGCAAAAATCCTTGGCTACAGTGGAATAAACAGTGGAATTGAGGAGATGGAAAAAGTCCCGGTAGACGTGAACGGGGTTCACCAGATTCCAGCACCCGCCGCTCCCCACACCCCACCCACCAAACGACACCGTTTAGCCCTAAGAAGCAGCTGAAGAAGAGGGGTTGGATTAATTTAACTTTGGCCCCTCTAAATAACTCATGTTTCATGGAGAGGACAAAAGTTTGCAATATTTATTATCGATGAACTTAAATACATAGCAAGTAGAATTGTCCTTCATGAAATAAAATAATTCGAAATTGTTCTCATTCATTTTTAAGCCTTTCAAGCATACTTTTTACATTGATCTTTCGAAAAAAAAAAGGTTATTTTTTTCATGGGAAAATTTATAGAAAAATCCAAATTATTATCCCAATTTTAAATTCTTGGATATTAAGAGATTTATGTGCAAAAGTGACCTTAGAATACCGAATTCACAATCACTAAATGTAACAAAAAAAATATGTGCATAAGTGACTTGAAATAACCTCAACACGCACCATGTGTAGGAGGAGAAAAACTGCGAATCAAATACATCTTAAATATATTTATGGTGTAAAAATTTAGGGTTAAAAACAAAAAAACCCCCTGTGATAAACCTAATACACAGAAAAGCCCCTCATGGTTTCAAAATATACAATACGACCCCTCATGCTTTGAACTAAATTGTAAAGGTGACGGAATCCGTTAAACTTAACGGAAATGACATATTGGAACCTAAAAAAAAATTTTTATACCTAATTTTTATCAAATATACCTATTCTACCCCTTAACTCTCAATTCTCTCTACTTACAAAATAAAATAAATGATTTTTTGAGCTGTTTTTTTGTTGAATTATATCAGGGTATTTTGGTCATTTTGACCATTTCCGTTAAGTTTAACGGATTCCGTCACCTTTACAATTTAGTTCAAAGCATGAGGAGTCGTGTTGTATATTTTGAAACCATGGGGGGCTTTTCTGTGTATTAGGTTTATCACATGGGGCTTTTTTGTTTTTTACCCAAAAATTTATTATACAGAAACAGGTTTAAATATGTGCCCTACATATAATAAGAAAACTCTTTAAATGTGAATGTAAATTTTGAGTCATCAATTCAAACCGAGTCATGAAAAATTTCTTTATACTAATAGTGTGAAAAATTATTTTTTTTTAAAAAGGAAAATTGGAGTTTTGGTCCCCAATTTAAAACCAATGCACGAAACTAGTCCCTAATCTATTTTGGAAAACAAATATGCTTCCCAATGTATCCAATTTTGCTCGACAGTGGACAATTGATGGGTTTTCTTCAATTTTTGCCAGAAAAAGTCACGTGAGAGCACGTGCCGGCACTCACAATCCTTTTTTCAAATTTTTAAGTGTGAAAACTAATAAAAAATTATTTCCAGCTATCTAGTCCCCCCTTTTTTTATTAGCAAAGACAAAACACAATCAGCAAATGGAGTTAATTATATTAATTAGTATTAGTCTACTATATAATTAGGCGATTGGCAAAACTTTTTTTTTAACAAAGACAAAATCCAATCAATCCCTTTCTTTCTTTCCGTCGTTCTCTTTATTCTTCCCCAATTGGAGAAAAAACCCTTGTAGCCAAATTCAATTGACGGGAAGTGACAAAGACTTGTAGAGTTCGAGACTGAAGAGCTTCGGGTTTCCTTCATCCATTCACATTCATGGCATAATTTTGTCAAATTTGTCTTCTTATCTCGTTGTATGCAGTCATGAAACCAGAATAGTTTTGACACTATAAGTTACAAGAAATGATGATTACCTCTTGGACACACAGCAACCTTGGAAGAAAGTATTTCAGCTGCAGCATGAAGAAGGTATGGACTATCTCAAATTCTTGCTTCAGCTTTCGAATTTTAGGTTTTTTCTGAAGCATTATTTTCTTGACCGTGAAGGGCAGAAGAGATAAATAAGGTTGCAACTATTTCGAGTGGTATGATCTAATAATGTGCCAAAGATCTACTGCTTTGATACCTGGTTTGCTGTGGAGTATGAATGCTAAGGATGCCACAATTGAAAGACTAAGAGCAAGGGAAAGAAAATTAGTCTATGCAATTGTGTTGTTGATATTGTTGTTGTTGTTTGTTTTGCTGGTGTAAAAGGTCAAAAATTAGGATGGAATAGCTATGTTTTAGCAGTTTGTGACAAGCTACTAGTGATTAGCAATGTTGTTCAAACTAATGGCTAAAACACATTCATTCAGAATTTTGGGATTTTTTGCTTGTAGTGGGTGAATGTGTAGGTTGGGATGTATTATGTTGCTAGTGAGATATCAGCAATGTTGTATTTAGTGCTATTGTAAACTATAATGGACATTTCTTGATGTGAAATTAACAGCCTTTCAAGATCTTTTGAGCCTATATTTAAGAATGATTTAACATTTGAATTAGAAAATATCTATCTAGCATCTTATTACACATGTAAAGTGATGGCAATTTAGAGGCCAAATAAAGACATTATTTGAAAATTATCCCTGTAAAACACATTCGTAAATGATGCCAAGATATTCACAATTCAATTGAGAAAGGAAACTGCAACAATTCTACCTAGAAGTCAATAATCTTTAAATAATATTGCAATTCAGTCATTACAACCATGAAAAAGGGACCTCCAATTCTCCCTTACAAAATATACATAGATTTGATCAGAAGGCATGACAAAAAAAGTACAAAAGAAACTGCATTACTTCCAACAGAACAAAAGAAGTACCGAGTATACCCACACGTAAACACAATCATCAACAAACGAAATACATAGTTAGTTCACTTTTACTTTTCCTTTAACATTGGACTTGTCACCACATTTATTGGTCCTAGGGAGTCTGAGATGAATTTGAACATCCCTAATTCTAAATGGTGCAGAAGCAATGGGAGCAACTGGTTGATTGATATGTGCCACATGTGAATCTGAAATTTCAAAAACCTCATATAAGTTAGGTTTAGCAGCAGGGGCAGAAGAAATTATGTTGTTCCCAGTAGCTTGTTGGCTATTTTGTGATGAAGCTGCTTTCTTTCTTACACGTCTAGTGCCTTTTCCCTGCATAATAGTACTATGAGTAATGAGTATGTACAGTAGTTACATTGGTAAGAATATAAAATCAAATTCAAGTTATAAGAAATTGTACAGCTTTTTCACTGCTCTTCTTTGCAGTAGAGCTAATACCTTCAACCTGGAATATGAGATTAAAACCATTATCATTAAGCAAATACAAAATCACAATACTTAAATTCAAATATATTAGATCTTATCACTTATAGAGATGCAATGGCTTGTATCCATTTGTGACAAGTCACCTACACATTGTGTTTCATGCAATCCATCTTGAATCTGTGATAGACTTACATCTTCACTCTCATGAATATTTACACTGTTTCACATGTTTGGATTATTCCTTTTTACTTATCACTCATTATTGTCCATAGGGCTGTGCATCAAAATCGAATTCGGTAAATCGGAAGTTTGAAATCGGAATTTTTCAAAATTTTGGCCTGATTTTTCCCGACCGAATTCGATTTTGAAATGGCAAGTTCTGATTTCGAATTCGATGCCGAATTGAATTCGAAATTTGGTGGATTCCGAATTCAAACCTATGCACTTTTTTTTTTTGGTTTCCCCTCTTAGTCAAAAACGAAAAAACCTGTTCAAATTTAATGCAGTCCCCTTAGGACATTGCCGCTTCTAAACAATCATACTGATGCCATTAGCCGAAGAGAATAGGAATATCATAGGACACGATAAGTCGCAGAATCACCATAGCTTACCATATCTCCAAAAGAAGACTTGAGAACTTCAAGATTCATAGTGTCAATGGTATTTACAAGTACATCATATGAGATCAAACAATATAATCCAGGATTCAGCACTGATCAAGATTGAAGACCGTGCTTAGAAATAAGTGGACTGTGATCACATACTCAGCATAAGAATACTAGAAACTGTTAAATAGATTCAGCAATGAAACATCACCATAAAACTGAGAAAATGAACACAAAGTATCTTTTGTTCAGTCAATGCAACTACTTACAAGACCCACAAACATGAATAAAAGGGCTCAGAATTCCTAATCAGTATCTGGAACTAAAAACTTCGTTATGTCAATACCCATAGGGGGAAAAAACCATCAGAGAGAAATTCAAGAAAAAGAAATGATTGTCAAGTCTCTGAAATAGAAATATTACAGGTACAGATAAGAACATTCCAATCCAAATTTCAAATACAAAACAATTCCAACAAATAATACAAATCAACTATTATCAAATAATACAAATGTAAGCAACAATTCCAGTCCAAATTTCACACAAACAATTCAACAACATTTCAATTTGCAACTTCCGAGGGATTGAGGGATAGGCTTGACTACTCAATCTTGAATTTCTATACTCCAAATCAGAATCAGCATTAGAGAATTCAAACATCAACAATTGTGGCTTCTGCACCTCCTTTGATTAAACCTATTATTCAAGAAAGAAAAAAAAAGAATGAAGTAACTTAATTGCATTTATGAATAGAAAAAATATTTCAAGTTTGTCAATAAGAAAGAAGATAATTTACCAGATTCAAATTCCTCAAGATCCTCCAATTTTTCTTCTACATTCAACTCATTTTCGGATGCCCGAAACCAGTCTTGAGCACAAATCAAGGCTTGCACAATTCTTGGAGTTAAAAAGCTTCTGAATGGGTCAAGAACACGTCCTCCGGTACTAAAGGCAGATTCGGAAGCAACCGTAGAGACCGGGATAGCCAACACATCATGAGCCATTTGTGAAAATATTGGCAACCGAAGACTATTACCTTTCCACCAATTCAAGATATCGAACTCGGGATCCTCGTCCTCACAATCCTCATTCAAATATTTGTCAAGTTCAGATTTAGCATTCTTTCCTCCAAGTTCAACTTTTCTTTTCTTGAACTCAATTCTGTATCTATCATTTATTTTTTTGGAGACTTCTCCATCAAAGGAAGAGATGCTATTTTCAGATCCACTAGAAAGTGAAGAGGTAGAGGAATGAGAAGATCCAGCAGGAGTATTAAGTCTCTTGTACTCATCAAACAATTCATACATTGCATCCTTGGCTACACGA